CCTCGATCCCGCCTTGTCGTTGTAAAGCGGCACTCGCTAGACTGTCGGCACTTCCGTTCCCGTCTCTCTTGACATGCACTAGTTCATCATCTCTCCATTTCCTAAGGCGAATGAGGGCCTTCCGCTTCAATATCGTCAGTCCGGGTGCTTTGCAATCGATCTCGCCCCGTACTTGTCGGATCACCAAGTTAGAATCACCGCAGACCACTAGGCGTTTGTGATCTAGGTCCTCTAGCGTCCCAGGATCAGGCCGTTATATTCTGCTTCGTTGACGGTGAGGCTCTCGAGATAGCCCGATCTGGCTGAACCCCCCCCATCCTGGAACACTTCACACGATCGCACTGAACGCGCCTCCGCCACGCTTCACTCGAGCCGATCCATCAAAGCTGATCACCCATAATTCCTCTTCCGGATCTACGCTTCCTATCGGTGCTTGAATCCAGCGTTTAGGTTCCTTCCGGGGAGCGATTTCGGTCAGAGGATCGTCCATCTTCGCCCTCGCTGTGGTGCTGGCAGCGATTGCCCCCAGTATTTCGTCCTCGCCCTTCGTGCACTTCGTGATCTCGAGCGTCCACGGGGCCAGGAGGGCGGACCATTAGCAATGCCAACACCTCCTTCTCGGTCACATTGTAATTCAATCCGTTCGTCTTCAAGGTACGACTGGCGAACGCCACCGGGTGATAGATCCCGTCGTGTTCTTGCGCCAACGAGGCGGATATCGCCCAATCGCTGGCATATACGATAACTACCGGCATTCTCGTCTCGTCGAAATGGAGGAGGATTGGGGTAGTCGCGATCTTGGTTTTCAAGGCGGTGAAGGCCCTATGTGCTCTGATCCACCTCTCATCCACTGGTTCCGTCAACTTCAGTTCCGGAGGGCCGAGATCTTGTGGAATCGGGTCGTTCCGGTCCATGATCTCCCTCAGATCCGATCGTTTCTCCACTTCTGCAAACTCCACCTCACGTAATTCGTAGAGCACCGAAGCATAAATAGCGTAATCTTCATTGAATCGGCTGCAGTAATTCAAACTACCCAGGAATGACTGCATAGATCGAAGTGATCCGGGGAATGGCAGATCGGTTAGCGATTTCAGGTTTTTCGGGTTCGCCTCCAGACCTCCGATCGACACTCGGTGTCCCAGATATACCACCTTATCCATGCCCGACAAGCTCTTGGCTACTCTGATCGATAAATTCCACTTATCGCAAGCCTCCAACATATCTTCCACCCATCAGCACATTTGATCCCACGATTCCGCTGCGATCATGATGTCGTTAATGTATGATCTCCGTCCCAACACTGACTGGCGATCAGGATCGTCCGCGAGCCCTGTCTGGAATACATCCGTTGTAGCCCCGGCGTCGATAGATCGCGAGATCTTCAGAAATCCATACCTTCTACGAGGCGTTGATAAATCTGCGGGTATTTCTTTAGGCCAAAGACATGCGACTCCATTCGAATAATCCAAACGGGGTGATAAATGCTGAGATCTCGCGAGCCTGATCTGTCATAGGCACGACCCAGAAGCCACTGGCCATACCCAGCGAACAGTACCATAGTGCTTCATCAAGATCTACTAGCAGATCGGTGATCAGGGGCATAGGGTAGACCATCAACCTCGTGAGGCTGTTTACCAAGTTGTAGTCAATGCACAACCTGATATCCACACCGTTGCTCTTGCGAACAATCACGATCGGTGAGGCCCATGGCGATGTCGAGTGTCGGATGCCAGGAGGCCCTCGATCAGGCCTGAGACTTTTTCTCGAAATCGCGTGGGCACTCTCCGGGTTCGCACTACGATCGGTTTTGCATTTCCGACATCGAAGTCACACACGACGTCCTTGGCCGCCGGGGGTAAGGCGTTCCCTTTCCGATCAGGAGGTGTCGTTTCTTCCAAATGATCTGACGGAGTCTCTCGATTTCTTTGGGTGTGGCCGATCCGGAGTCTCCAACCTGCAGATCCTCGATGCTGACCTTCGCGGTCGTCGAGATCGGGATTTCGGGGAGAACGGCCAAGTTTCCTTCTAGATCTTCAGCTGAGAGATCATCACTCTCGTGGGAATATATCCCATCCTCGTCCTCGGTATCTTGTGGGGTGGTCGCTGCTTCTCCTTCCGCCAGCGAATCTCGTAGGTCGACGACCTCAGTCGGGTGGATCGGGGATTTAACACCGGAGACTTCGCCGGTATCGAGCTTGATCTGAGTTTGACAGTTCAGATTTCCCGTTCTCGGCTCGGTATTCCCGACGTCAGTCTGATTTTCCGTCTTAGCATCATTGGTGTCCGTCCGATCGGTGGCCTCATCTGGCATGCTCTCACTTATTCCGACGCCCTCAGCATTGCCGCTCAGGTATCGATCGCCATCGGGGCTAGTCGTTGGCGTAGATGGACGTCCCCTTTCTGGATCGAGAAATTCAGCCTCGATCTGGTTCGCGTCGGCAATTCGCGCCCTCGATCGAGATTCTAGGGTCGATACCAACGTTCGATCTCTATCAATAGCAGCATATCCCGCCCGGCGAAGTATTGATCGTGGTGTGGGATAGGATGGTCGTTGCACTGTCGGCTCCACGGGGCCCTCCATGAGTTCAGGGGGCCCTGATCTAGTATCTACCGTCGATTCCAATACCAGCTTCTGCCATTCCCGGTAGCGACGTGACCTGACGGACACGAACCCTGGGGATCGGGGTACTTTGTCCTGATCGAGTATCATACCGATGTCCAGACGGTGGTCCAGCCGTAGGATCTCTTCGCCAACGTTCGAGGTCACCAGGTAGCGGATGCGACCGGGGCCTTCCGTCACGGTCCGTACCCATCGTTCTACCCTGGTCACCCACAGTTTCTCCGTGGAAGCCAATTTGATCTTCGCCGCTATTTCTTCCGACTGGCCAACCGGGATTCGTAGAGATCGTTCGAGAATCACTGATCTCACCTTTTCGCCATACAATCGCTTACGACAATTAAGCGGTGTTCCAACTTCGTCAGGTAGTCGCACCGATCCGTCGGCGAGGTCCATCCGTACACCGGCTGGAACCATAAAATCGATGCCCAGGATCGCGTTCTGTGCTGCGAGATCTCCGATCCAGATGTCAAAAAAAATACACCAGATATCCCGCCGGGGTGATCTTGATCTTGGTTCTTGCTTCCGTAGTATATACGTTATCACCAATTCCCACACATTCCTGTCTCTGACTAGTGTCAAAATTGCATCCCACCTTACGAGCAAAGGTGGTATCCAAGATTGATACGCACCAGTATCTAGGAGGAGGATCGCTCTCTCGTGATTGATTTTTCCCGAGATCTTGGCTTGGCGGAACCATTTTCCCGGGGAATGACGTTTCCAATAACCCCGGGACTCCCCTCTTTTGAGATCTAAGGCAACTTCCGCATTAGATCTGCTGAATTCGCTGATCTGGGGAAGACTCGCGATCTTGGTGGTGTAAGAATGCAACTTACATGTATTACCGCGTAGATCCGACTCATTTCTACCTCGATCTGCCGTCGCCTTGTTCACATAGGCGTAGATGTAATATCTAGAACGCTCGGCTCGTACCGGATTCCACCCCGGCGAGCGTCCTAGTTTAACATCTTCTCGACTTGTTCGGGGAACAGCCCGGCATGTTGGATCGTACCATTTGCGTATCTGATTGTAGAATTCCTCGATGGGACATTCTCCTGCTTCGTGGACCTCCCCGCATCTACGACACGCATATGGACACCGATCCGTAGGGTGACCTCTTTTTCCACACTTTTCGCATATCAGACGCTTCCAACAATCTAGATCCGTGTGTTTCCTGGACCCACAATGGGAACAGCGCTCACGATCTTGGTCTGTCTCCCGGGCTGCGACGATCCGAGGTCCGGGTTCCCTCAGACGCTTTCGATCGACATCGCACTGGATATGGGTTTTGCGAGGCGCTCCCCCAGTACTGATCAACTTTTCTTCTGCCGCAGCGAGAAAGATCCTTCGTA